TGCACCCTATTTAAGCAACATTATGGACCTCCACCCCAGCCTCCATCACCTCCACAGTCCATTCTCGAAACCCTAGCAACCATTGAGTGTCCTAAAGCCTTTCTTGCCATTTTTGTGTGATTTGAAGTTAGGAGAAGGAAGAGAACTATTAGTGATTCAAGAAGAGGCAGGAGATCCAGAGTTTTTGTTGCATTTTAGAGCCCTTGAAGGTATAAATCTTGTACCTTGGCTTATTTTCACTTAGATCTTCATGAAAACTTGTTTGTTGCCACTTTTGGGTCCTTTCCATGCTAATTTCGGGTAGAGAGCTTTTGGGAATGTAAGGACCTTATATCTAGGCACTCTTGAGCTCCAGAAGCTCAAAGTTGCCACCTTTATTCGGCCAAGATCCCATTATATGCCCTAGACTTTCATTTCTAGCTTGTTTTGGGTGATTTAGCTTCATAGCATCATGCATGCACGTAAAGTTAGCAACTTTACGTGTTATGCTAACCTAAGGAGTCTAGATCTATGAATTAGAGGCAGTGGAATCACCTAGGATCAACTGTATAATCTGAGCATGCAATGGACTCGTCGAGTTGTTCTTGGGACTCGACGAGTCAGATCGATGTCCCCAAACCCTTCTTTGATTATGAGTGAAACCACTGAGTTAAGGAGATGACTCAGCGTGTTGGACATGAGTGAGACTCGGAAGCAAAAGAACTCGACGAGTCCAAGGAGAGACTCGGCGAGTAGAATCGAGATGTCCCAATGTTATGACTGTTTGAACTCGACGAGTTGGTAGAGGGACTCGGCGAGTTGGGTTGACTGAGAGTTGACTTTGAATTTGGCGTTGACTTTGACTTTGGCGTTGACTTTGACCAGAAGGGTAAAATGGTCATTTTACCCTAAGAAGGATTATCAGTTTTTGATTAAGTGTTGTTATGGAATTATATCCAGAGAGTCGCCGGAGCAGCATATAGGAATCCCTCACCTAGTTTTTCAGCAGTCAGCCATACGAGGTGAGTTTCCTTCCAGTAGGAACGGGTCTACGGCCACAATGTCGGCCCGTTTAAGTTGTAGAGTATGCCGGGGTGAGCCCGATGCTGGGATTAGCCCGATGCAGTTTATATGTTTCCGGACTTCGGTCTGATGTCGGGGCGGTCCTGAGAAGTAGTTTAGTATGCTTGATGTCTTTGTGATTCATGCATGTATATGTGTTATGTGTTATGTGTTCCGGGGTAAGCTCGATGTCGGGGCAAGCCCGATGTATGTTAGTTAACATGCTATGTGATTATGTGTTCTGGGGTAAGCCCGATGTATATCAGTTATTATGCTATGCGTTATATGTTCCGGGGCAAGCCCGATGTATGCTAATTTATACATTATGATTATATGTCCCGGACTTCGGTCCGATGTCGGGGCAAGCCCGATGCAGATCATGTGATTATGTTATGTGTTTATGATTTATGTTATGTTGTGTATGTGCCGGGGTAAGCCCGATGCCGGGGAAAGCCCGATGTCGGGGTGAGCCCGATGCCCGATGCGGTCGGATGTCGGGGTGAGCCTGATGCCGAGCAGGAGTCCGATGCCAGGTAAGCCGATGTCGGGATTCGTCCCGATGCAGTTGGGAGTAATCCCAAAGTTATGTTATTTGTTATATGTGATTTGTATGGTATGTGGTAGTTTGGGGGAGCTCACTAAGCTTCGTGCTTACAGTTTCTGTTTTGGTTTCAGGTACTTCAGCTAGCAAGGGAAAGGGCTCGGGATGATAGCATGGCACACACCACAGTTTTCTTAGCCTGGGAGTTTACTCTGATATTTTATATATGAGATTGTGATATGTTGACAGATCTTATGAGATTTTTGAGATACATGTTTTATGATTTTATACTATGGTGATGATATTTATGTTGTTAAATGATTTTGAAAACGAAATTTTTGGTTAGTATTTTTGGGATGTTACACCATAGGCCTATGAATGGTGTCAACCAATCAGAATTCATAATGCAACAGCTTCAGAAACATTCATCCATGACATAAAACACATGAGTATCAGCAACACACATGATGGATCACCATGAGCCATAGTGGAGCATGATGATGTACATGTGGCACAACATGAACACTAGTGGCCCAACATCCATCATAGTGGTACAACATGGTGTATTCCTTGAGCATCACCAACTTTAGAGCATCATAGAAGAATTCATAGCACATGTGGCTCATCAGGGAACCAAAATGGCGCATCTTGCACCAAGATTACATATCTCATGCAAGGATAGTGCAACATGCTTCAATGTGGTGCAACTTCTCCCAGGTTGGCGCAAGATCTCCACTTTGGCGCAACATCAACTAGTTTGGCGCAACACCCTTATAAATGTCACAACTTCCATCCATTTGGCGCAACATTCTCATGAATGTCGCAACTTCCATTCACTTAGTGCAAATTCAACTTGAATGGTGCAACATGTTGCTCCATTCTACTACAAGTTGCTCTGTACCCCCATTTAGATGACTCATTCCTTTGGCACGGATCCATTCCTTTGTCAAATGATTAAATGCCTTCTCAGATGATCCATTCATTTGTTACGTGCTCCATGAACCCAAATCCTCCATGAGAATGCACTAAATGGTCAAGGCACATTTAACACACACACACACACACCTTACCACACATTTATTTATTTATTTTATTTTCCTTTTCTTTAAATGCATAAAATCTAATTAAATCAAATTAATAAAAAGAAAATATTTCTTTAACTAAAAAATACAAACTACATTAAAAAAAACATACTCGAAATAAGAAGTGAGTGTTTATATTTATAGTGAAGTTTAAAAAAAATTAAATTAAAATATAGCAGTTGAGGCCCAAACTCCAAAAAAGGCAAGAAAAAGACATGGTAAGGCAGCTTCTTGCGATGGGAATAACACATCAATATTGGAGGGACGATGATGTGTGAATCACACACTGTGGAGCCACATTAGCCACTGCAGTGTGCGGTTATATGTACATCAAGCATCCTTACTTTAATGTTAATGGAAAATAATTATGAAGACAATGAATGATGGTATATGCTTAAAACCCACCGAATCCTAACCCCACTTCCTTCTAATTTCTCCATGTTATCATCACATTAAATTCTTTTACTATACTTGGTTAAACAAAATTTTAAGCAAAATTTTAACCATCTTATGCTTCTTATCTTATATGACAAGTTGTTTTTAATGTTGGAATTATGATGATAAATATAAACAATTAGAAGAAGTAAAAACTTAGAAATTTGGGTGGAAAGTTTTATTGGAGAAAACCCCGATGGAGAGAATGATTAAAGTAAGTGAGAATCGAATGTTATAATGATGCAAAGACTTTTAACTTCCAAATAAATGATAATATTTTCTAAACCTAAAAGACTTGGAAACCAAACAATTGAATAACTCTCATATAGGTAGATATTGGCTCACTTGAGTCGCTTCAACAAACACTTCATCTTCAACAGAAAAACTTAAATTCCTTCAACAACTACAACAATAACAAAAAAAAAGTCTTTTGTCATTGTACTAAGGACCAATCTTGCATACCAAACCAGATTGAAAAAGACTTAAACTTGGAAACTTAGACACTGAAAACTAGCTTTGTCATCATATCATTCAATTGAGAATGACTCAATTCAATGAATATAATAGAAAATGTTTGTGGTAGTGCGAACTAGTGTTAAATTTCACACTTTCATGTTTGCCAAGTCGATTGTGCCTAATTTTGACGACACTTGATTGTCGATTTGTAGGTTTAACATGGAAATGGAGATCGGATTGCAAGTTTAACAGAACCTGTAGTTGTAGTGTTTGGAACATAGTATATTTTATTATAACTAGAGAACATTTTGTGAATTTCAAAACCCTATTTCCACCTAATAAATTTATCCCTTTGTCATAAAATCTCCATATATAGATAAGGGTTTTTTTTTCCAACTTTGTAATGTAAGGAATATCAACTAATGATTTAATAGTGTTAGCGAACATCTTGAAATGAATACTTAATGTACTGTTAATCTTGCATCAGAGAGTCATTGAAGACACCAATTGAACCAACATTATGAATCGGTTCTAGAGTGGTAAATAGACATATATTTTAAGTGCAAGCTAAGAGCATCTCCAACCCACCCCCAAACTCCATTTCTTCCTCCATTTTTCTCCAACCCTACCCCATTTCCACCTCCATTTTTGGAGATATGAATAGTATTCCCCCATATATGGGGGAATACTATTCATATTTCCAAAAATGAAGGTGAAGTTTGGTTGTCAATTTTAGTCTCTCTCATTTTTATTTTATACATTTCTAATTTATTTTATCTATTAATTATAATTTAAATGCAATATTTAATATTTATAATATCATGTTATATATTAATTTATATTAATTAATCATAAATATAAAGTTTAATTAGTAGATGGGTGTATTTGACAATATATATAAGTTATAAAAGTGGAATATTTTAGGAATATACTTTTTGGGGTAAAAAATGGGGTAGAAAATGGAGTAGGGTTGGAGATGAAACACTATTTACTCTATTTTTTACTTCATTTATAGGGGAGAGGAAAATGGAGATAGGTTGGAGATGGTCTAAATCGAGAACTCACTTGTCACAAATGGTGTTACTTTTGTTCCTGACGATGGAGGCTACATAGACTATTAAAAAAACTGTTAGATTATCATTCGTGAATGGTTAACAAATTCATAAGATTTGTTTTGACAATACACACAATAGTTTTTCGTATGTTATAAGGTGGGCTTTTAAGAAATACAAACAACATTATTTTAGTGAATAGGTCATTTTATTTTGATCATTCAGTAATCACTTAATCACAAAAAGTAACACGATTAGAGAGAGACAAATGCAATCATGATATTCAAATAACAATTTTAGATATTATGTCCAAACACCATCATTATTTGAGAATGTCACCCGCTCCCTATAAACCCCACCTCCACTCTCTTGTTCATCCTTGCTCCAATTTCAATGGCGATATTTTCTCATATTTCTTTCTTCGTTATTCTCTTAATCTTCGTCGGAAACATCAATTCCCGATCAGCCACCGCAAGGATTCCGATTACGTCATATTCCAGGGATCAAGTCTCGTGTACTATGTGTGACGAATGCGACAACCCTTGTCAACAGGCTCCCTCGCCACCACCACCCTCTCCTCCTTTACCATCACCACCGCCACCAATACAATCACCCTCCACCGACAATAACTGCCCACCACCACCATCCTCACCAAGCTCCGGCGGCAATTCTCCTCCCGCCACACCCTCTGTTCCTACGTTCCCTTATTACCCCCCTCCATCACCAACTTCTGGTGGTGGCTATGGCTACTCAACTCCGCCGCCCCCCAATCCAATTCTACCTTATTTCCCATTTTACTATTATAATCCACCGCCTCCTCGCCAAAATTCAGTCTCCGATCGGTTAAAAACCAACCCAGTTCACACCCTCCTCCCTCTTTCATTTCTCCTTTTCTTCTTCAGTTAAATCGAAGTATTCCCATTGATTTCCTAATCTTATTTCTGATTTTTTTTCTTTTTGATCATCGAACAACTGAAGAAGAACCTTCTCCCCCGAAGATCAACAAAATTGAAGAATCAGTAACCTCTAGCTCACGAAATTCTTCTGTAATTTGTTTGATTACTCTTAGATTTACTACCTAAAGCAATAACGAGAGTAAATTTTTCGCTAACTCATTGATAAACAATTGTCGATTTAAACTTCAACCTGTGTTGTTCGTCATTTAGGGTACATTTCCGTCTTGTTTTGCTGTTACAACCACTCGAATATTTGTTTGCGTAATGTATTATTAATTATAACTAATTCGTTCATATTGCGTGACCTGTATCTAGTTCAATTTTGTTAGATGTTTATCTATTCTTATTCTAAAGTACGTTGTTTTTCATAATAGGTTTTTTTTGGTCGATTTAATTGTGTATGATGCAATCTTCTAAATTTAGAATTTATACATGTCAAATATTGCATCAAAATACACACAAATAATAAATAATAAAATAAATAATAGTTTCTTTTAGAGATAATGTTTTTGGTTTTCATCACAAGCATTTCTCGCCTAATCCCTCTTAGTTTTTTTTTTTATTAAGAGCGTTTTTTAGCAAATCTAGCATGTAACTAGTAGCTCGCGAGTGTATATTGTAGTTTTTATTTGTATAAAAATGTTTACTAAAAATAATTGATAACTTTTAAAGATATAAAATTATAAAAACCAAAACTAGAAGTCGTGAACAGCTAAAAACTAAATAGTTTTTTATTATAAGTCTTTTATTTAAAATCAAACTTAAAAGCTTCTAATTTCCAACAATTTTTCTTTTTACAAGTTTTCCTTGAAAGCTCACAAAAACAATCTATAAAGCTCCATACCAAAAACTTAATATAAATCATCAAATTTCATGGTTACTACAAAGATAAAGGTTTCTAAAAGATATACTAAATTATTTATTTATTTTTAACCGGAAAATTTAATCTATTTCTAAGCTAAAAACCTATTTCCGCCTAGGTCCATGACCGGATTTGAACACTTGACCTCAAAGAATGAGAGCACCACCTAAATATAAATGTTCTGCAATGACAAATTAAATACAATTGACAATGGTAAGAAAAAAATATAAACATAGAAATATAAATAAAATAAACACTAATTTTCTATGAGTTTTTAGAGAATAGAGTTATTAACAACGTATTGTTACTGTGACAGCAATATCCATTATATAGTTTTCTTTCGATCCTAATTGTATATTCGTAAACCGAAATAGATTATCGATTTAAAATCAACCAATTTTTTTTATTTATCTAATGTTCTCGATTCGGATAGATAAGCAATGTTTTGTCTAGTAAAATAAAAATAGAAAGAATTATGTAAATAATATAAATGTATGTTTACAAGTATATTGTTATTAAAACATAGGATAGAGAGTCATTCACGATTATATATATTTAGTAAAAGGGATTTTCTAATTTGTGCCCTAAAAACAAACATAAGAACTATTAATTATTGAAAATATTACCATAAGAATTATTAATTATGGTAAATGTTACCATAATTAAATATAAAATGCATTAATTATGAAGAATATTTTCTATAATTAATGAATTATATATATATATATATATATATATATATATATATATAAATTTTTTTTTTTTTTGAACGGCAAATAAATATAAATCTCCTCAGTCTGGGATTGAACTCAGGACCTCCTAGTTAATAGTTAGATTAGTACTTACATATTAGCCAAGTGGGCTAGTATTAATTTTATATTTAATTATGGTAACATCCCCATAATTAATAGTTCGAAGTATTAATTAATACTTCTTTATGATTTATACTAAATGATGTGTACCTTAGAAAATTGGTAAAAATAAACGAGTTACAGAAAAACAGAAACAATTATCCTTCAATCATTCTTAGGGGTGAGCATGGTGCGGTTTTAGGGCCAAACCGAACCGCAAACCGCAAGGTGCGGTTTTTGAATTCTAGAAACCGTTGGGTGGGGTTTTTCCATGGTTCGGTTTTGCGGTTTTTAAGTGCGGTTTCGGTTTGTACCGGTTCGGTGTCGGTTTAAAACCGAGCCAAACATATGGTGCGGTTTTTTATGTTCACCGGTACAAATTTTTTAAACCGTGGTGTTCATGTAAAGATTTATGATTGTATGACATGCTGTCATTTCGTTTGCTCACATTTAGAAGCTGTAATTTTGAGTTTTTTTATGTTGTTTACTTGATCACTTCATTTGCAACCTATATTCTCAAACTCATTTTTTTATTCAATTTGTGCTTAGAAGTTACAAACTTGCAAGTTGTAGCCCACATAGTGTTTATACTTTACACATAATCATTAAGTCACAAACACGAAGTGACAAAGTCACATATTAAACGTAATACCTAATTACTTGTTCCATCAAGTTCAATATATAATATATGTATAAATTAGAATTTATTAGTTTTTTAAATAATATGTATAACTGTATAATATAAATTAGTGATTTGTTTTATTGTTAATAAGATTGTGGTGCGGTTCGGTTTTGGTGGTCCGTTTCAAGATAAAAACCGCACCGCACCAATAAATTCGGTTTTTCAAAAAAAATAATTTCCGCACCATCGGTTTTTGCGTCGGTTTCGGTTTTTCGGTTCCAGTTTATTGCGGTTTTTACGGTTTTTCTTTTATTGGTTCGGTTTTTCTCACCCCTAATCATTCCCATTAAAATGTAAATGGCAAGCTGTCAAAAGCATAAAGGGGCAATCAATAATATTTGGGCTTCCAGTTTTATTCTCTTTTTGGGTTACCTTTGCAACAATGGGTAGCAAAAAGGAAAAGGAAGATTTTTCTTTTTGTTTTTAATTGTTTAGCACCTAAGCAACTAAAAAACAATGATTTTAGTGTTTTATAATTAACACTTATAAAATTAGAATTTACATTCATAATTATGTTATGCTAAACACCTTTTGATATTTTAGGACTCGTACTTTTTATATTACATTTTGTACACCATCGTTATTAAATTTTTTTTTTTAAATTTACATTGTGTGTGAGTGGGACCAAGTGAAAGATGGTGAAGGACCATGATTGAGTAGAAGCATCATATGTTAAATTTCCAACTCTTTTTCTTTCAGAATCATTTTTTGAGCTTTTGGCACATGATCCATTGGCGTTTTCAGCAATCTTTTGCCACACTCATCCATTTATAGCATTGCTTCAATATTATTACTATAGTCAGCCCATACCGAACCACAATTAAATATTGTTCCATTGGAAAAATTATGGTAATTACCGATTTACGTTGATGAAAACAAATTTGTATTTTGGTCCATTGACTCAACATACCAAATAGAGGTGCACGAACCACTCAGGTTTTCTGAAATCCAAACTAGTTTTTAAGATAGTTGGTTTTCAAATATCTGATATACGATTCATTGTTTATACACCGGATTCAAAAAAAATGGGTCATCGCTCTTTTCCGATTCGGAAATAACCTGGTTTTTATCCAATAAAATAATATGTTATGAAATTTTATTGTTGGTAACGTTTTTTCCTTTTTGAAAAAGAAAACACTCATATGAATGTTAATATAGGCATTTGGAGCCTCAAAATTACCATTTTACACCTTTAATTAGAGATGGCAAAAATACTTTTACATCCGATGGAGACCTGATACCCTAAACCGATTTAACATGAGAAATACCCAAATTGACCAACAATGCGGACGGAGATCGGGATACCCCTCGGTTCTTCAACCCGTCCCCGAAACCATAATATATTATATAAGTATATATTTTATATATTTGTAGTAATATTTAAATTTAATACAAAAAAGGTAAATAAATGAAATATAGAGAGATTTCTTAAGATTTATTTTGACACAATGTATACTTATGAGTCATAGCACTTTGACCTTCTTTTTCATACCTCGCAATTCTTTCATTCTTTATCAACCATCTGCGGCGATTGGCGACTACAGATTCGAAGTCAGAGACGTCATCTGTAACACCCTAATTTTGGCTAAATTTAAAAAGAATTATTTGTAAATTAGTAAATAAATAATCTTAAAAAGATTTATAGTTAATAAATAAATGTTTATTAAAATCATAAACATATTTAATGAAATTTGAATATTATTTGGACTTTAAATAATAGAAATTGGGATTTGACCGAAACTTGAAATGTTTAGCTTTGATCTAGTCAAGGATTTGTTTATTAGAATGTTTATAGAATACAACTAAAGTCTAAACTTTGAAACTTTACTTAAACGACGTGATAGATGTCGTTAGCATTTGGAACTTAAAATTTTGAAGGGTCATTATTGCCATTTGGTCAAAGTCTTAAAACAACTAGCTAGTTTTCTCCCCATTTGAAGCATAAATCGACTTTGAAATATGGGAACTCCACCAATGCCTATTTGAGAGGTTTAGATTTGAGTGGTAGGGCATGAAATGGTAACTCCTCAGCTCACTTCTACACGAATTCAAACTAGTGTTTGGTGTAACAACCAAATATGAAGTTTCTTGTAGTTAGGATGATTTAATAAGGTTTCTAATATCATTTCTAGTTTCTAACTTTCAAACCACATGTAAATTTATTATGTGACGGTTAAACTGTAACATTTGGCATTTAAATATGAATTTGATGCTTCAATCATGTGGAATTTCGGTGGCCACGACATGGTGGAGAAGATCACCATGACGTGGCAACCACTTTTAGGTCGCGATCATTTTTTTAGTGCAGACGACGTGGTTATGTATTGGCCACGATGTGACAACGTCCCATGCTCAAACCCTAATTTTTTAGGCTTAATGCCCTATTTAAAGGATGTGATGACTAGGGTTTCGTCCACCCTCAGCCACCATCACACCCCAAGTCTAGAAATCAAACTCTAATCCCTTGATTCCTCATTTGAGCTCTTTTTGGCATTCTTGGTGATCTTTGAAGGAAGAAGAAGAACTTTGTGGTGAAGGGAACCTCTTGGCAAGCT